ACCCCATTGCTGGCAATGGCAAAAAAGTCGCGATATGTCGCGACACGTCACGTGACGTTGCGAGTTTGACACCCCTGTTCTAAAGGATCGATCAGTCAATGATACATTTTAGCACATTTCCAATTTATTGAATAGACGAGATGGTTCTAAAAGACTTAGGAGAGCATTGGAGTTTATTCCCACAACCAAGATGTGTGACAATCAGTTGTGGGAAGAACCTGTGTATTTGAGCTTTCAGCCTGGAAGAGGCCCTGTAATGTTCTTCTACCTGCAGAGGCAGACTTAAAATTTTGGCACCCCCTGCAAACATATTTTACTTTGGTGATTTTTGGACCACCAGAGTGGGCAGGAGTGTCATAGGGTAGGAGTGTCCAACCTTGACAACTTTAAGACTTGTGGACTTCAACTCCCAGAATTCCCCAGTCAGCCATGGTAGCTGGTGAATTCTGGGAATTGAAATCCACAAGTTTTAAAGTTGCCAAGGCTGGACACCCCTATCAAAAAGCTTTGGCAGCTGCTATTTTGGGATGTTTCTGGTTCCCCCCAAATTGGATTCATATCCTACACAGGCAGAAAACATAACGGATCAGCATGTTTGCTTCTTCTCATTGACTAGATCTCTATAAATATAGCCTTCTTATTTATATGGATGGCATATAGCTTACACATACGTCTGTTAATGTACTTTATAAAGAGTTATCCTAACAGCATGCCACCATCGGACGTCACGGAGTGCCTCCTGCCTAAATTATCTGTGTGAAAGGTTGAATAATCCACCTCAGCTTATTTTTAGCCATGCTGTTTTGCAACTGTTGACCAGGAAGGCATGGCCAGAATTTTCTATTTCTGTATATAAATATGCATAGATAGTCATCTGGATGCTGAAACCTGTCATAACATGTTCAGGTTTTGGGAGGTTGGTAGCTTGATCATAATGGAATATCTGTCCCCCTTAAGGAGTTAGGATAGAAAATTTGGAGAAAGGATAGTTAAGAAAAGAAAAAGAAAGAAAAGGAAGAAAAGAAAGGAAGGATAGATTAGGTATCTCAAAGATGCTTTTTCAGGAGGCAACTGGACTTTCTTATTTTTTTTGAAGACATTTCGCTTCTCATCCAAGAAGCTTCTTCAGCTCTGACTGGAGGGTGGGGAGCTGAAGATGGTTGGAGCTGAAGAAGCTTCTTGGATGAGAAGCGAAACATCTTCAAAGAAAAACAAGAAAGCCCAGTTGCCTCGTGAAAAAGCACCTTTGGGATAACTATGACCTGGATGACTGAGAATCTCCATAGATTGGATAGATAGATAGATAGATAGATAGATAGATAGATAGATAGATAGATAGATAGATAGATAGATAGATAGATAGATAGATAGATAGATAGATAGATAGATGTTTGTCATTTTTAATCTCCTTTGCTTTCCTTAAAGCATAAGTGTAAGACAAGAAGAAATCAAATTAATGGGCTGAAAGAGGAGAATTACAATTTTCATTTAGGTAACAGCCAAGATATAGTTATATAGCACCTTTCAAAGAATACATCTTTGACTGAGGCATGCTAAGCATTGTAGTTGTGTGTATGGGTGCATAAGAAAGCTATGTATGAGAGAGGAAGAGACAAACAAACAAATTATTCCAATTCTGGCAAAAGCCAAGAGTCTCCAAGAAACAAAATGATGCAATGACACAGCCTATTTTTTCTCCATTTTCTGCCTTTAACAGATTTGTTGCCAAAGTGCACAATTCACCTATTTGCTCTAGGGCAGTGATGGCGAACCTTTTAGAGATCGAGTGCCCAAAAACCGCCCTGGCCCCCCCGCCCCACCCCCACTCTGCTCCCCACTCCGCCCACCCACAGGGCCACTCACCACAGATCGCCCAGGCAGCCTTGCAGCGCCATGGCGGCCACGCCCTCTGCCCGCACCCCGCAGCATCATCTGCACGTGATGTGGCACGAGGGTGGAGTCTTGCCCCTGCTTCCCGGCTGCCATGTACTTGGCTGCGCTGCTCCATGTGAGCTGTGCCTGGGGGAGCCTCTCCTCCGGGCAGGCTGCTGGTGAGGGGGTTGCGGGGAGGCAGGGCTGGGGCAACGGCATGCGTGCCCACAGAGAGGGCTCTGAGTGCCACCTCTGGCACGCGTGCCACCACTGCTCCATGGGTTGGTTTTTTCTTTTTGTTTTGGCATTTATATTTAACTTACTACACTTATTTACTCCATTTTCCCTGCCAAACGCAATTAACAATCATTTATTTAGCAATTGTTCAAAGTTACAACAGCACTGAAAAAAGTGAATTAAGACCAGTTCTCGCACTTACCACTGTCACAGCGTCCCACAGTCTCATGGGTGGCTGGGCAACTGGCATGTATTGACAATGGTTGCAGTGTTTTAGAGGTGGGTGGGGTCACGCAAGCACCTTTTGCACCTTATATTCAGAGTCAGATATCAGATTTGCTTAATGACCATGTGAGTCACTCAACAACTGCAGTGTTTTGCTTAACAACCATGGCAAAAAAGGTCATAAAATCGGGCATGACCGATTTAACAACAGCCTTGCTTAGCAAGGGAAATTCTGGTCCAAATTCTTCTTGTAAGTGAAGGACCACCTGTACCTTGGTCTTCAATAATTGATTTTCATATCTATACAGGTAGTCCTCGACTTACAACAGTTCATTTAGTGACCGTTCAAAGTTTGAAGGGAAACTTTGGGAAACTTGGGAAAAAGTGACATGACCATTTTTCTCACTTATGACCATTGCAGATGGTCTTGATGCAGAAAGGAATGTTGAAATATGGGCACAACGAGTTGCCTTTTGGATAAAATGAAAGTAATATATATATATATTTTGTCAGAGTTATACTGAAAATAAAGGTTCAAAATAGTTATGCCATTTCTGCCATATTCAGAAATATATTTTGAAAATGTATTTAGCCGCTTTTCTTTTCCTTCTCGCTTTGTGTTTCAGCCTCAGCACAATGGCATTTCTCCGCGCATGTTCAAAGCTTTTGTAAGCAAAGGGCACCCCGAATTTTCCTCCATTCGGCAACAGGATGCACTAGAATTTCTTCTGCACCTTATCAACCTGATAGAGGTGAGCAAAGGCTCATGTCTTTTTTCACATGAACAAGCTAGCAAAAGATAATACCAGCCAACCTTGCACAAACATTTAGAAGTTTCATTTATAGATAAATGTGGCACAAACTATCAGGTTTCTGGTTAAGGAGATCTGTGAATTTCAATTCTTGTAGAAGCCCATATAAGATTCTCTCTCTCTCTCTCTCTCTCTCTCTCTCTCTCTCTCTCTCTCTCTCTCTCTCTCTCTCTCTCTCTCTCTCATCTATCTATCTATCTATCTATCTATCTATCTATCTATCTATCTATCTATCTATCTATCTATC